CAATATCATATTTCAGATTCTCACACTTGCGTAATACTAGAATAGATTCGAGGAAGACAAGTATGGCTAACGTACGGTATAAATTATCAATCATCAGGCAATTACAATAATATAAAGGGAGGGTGGAGTGACAAAACTTTTGTCCCTTTTTATTGTCCATAGTTCTTTACAAAAATTTGAGATTAATATGAGTTTGAGATCGTCATTGGAAAACTTACTGATTTTTTACGAGGTTTAGTGATTTTATTCGGTGACGCATAGATGTAAAATCTGTTCAAACCCTAAAAAGGAAGAAAGTACCTAAAAGCCTTTACTTAAGTGAATAATTCCTCAACATTCTTTTTAATGCAAACGACCGTTGGGGTTAAACTTATGGAATCACATAGGCATGGAACTTAACCGCAATGGAAAATGAACATCTACTGACAAGGTCAGCAACTAATACTTATAGGACCAACTAAGAGCATTCAATGGATCACCTCTTTAAAAATCGCCGTGTTGAAATACACTGCTGACGGATGTCCGCGTTTATTTTCGAGGTGATGTCTAAGTACAAATGGGGGTGTTAATTATTTTTCCACCTTTGTAAAAGGCCGTGTTAATTGTATTGTTGAAAGTTCAATAGTTACGTTTTCGATTAATATGTACAGTTTCTTCTGCTAAACATATTTACCTTAATACATAATTGCAGGTTGCAAATTCAAAACACATTGGCCGAATATATATTAACTTCTTACAAAAAATGTTAAGCTATTTCTCGTTCCATTTCTAAATTGTGGAAAAGCGGAACGTGCGCTAGTTAAATTTGGCTAGGCACATACTTTAACTCTAGACAGTATTTTTAGGTCAATCCACGGTAACTAATAAGTATATTCACGTACATTCCTATTTTTACAATAAAAGTGGTTTTAAAACGTTAGAGCAAATGCGGTGAACGTTAGCGCCTTTCTATTTGTTTCCTCATTTCAAACGGCGACCAACAGCTTAAAATGAATCATTTTAGGCTTTTTTATTTAGACAATTTCCCGACTATAATTTCATCATAGACATTTGTTTTATTCGTCGTGAGTAGTATTTAAAGTTTCTAAATAACATTTTTGTGCATCAATTTAAATAGATACAAAACAATAAGTCTTAAAATCTTACCGACTTTAGACAATGAAGAAAGGACGCGCTGTTTGTTGATACGGATAAAAAGTAAAGGAAAGCGGCCCAATTTGCCTACCTAGCATGAGCAAAACGTTTTGGAAATGTGAAAAAAAAACCGAGCACTTACGCCAGAGTTAACGACTAAAGCCTAAAATTAAAGGGACATAATCTTAATATTAACATATAATAAATAGATATTATGGGAAATATTTTTTGTTCAAAATATCCTTTTTCGATGGAAATGGGAAAGTCGATAACCCTAATACTTTTGCTGCAGACGTGACTTTAATCATAAGAAGTATTCAAAGCTTATCACACAAAACACTGGTTAACTGAAAACTATAAACCAAAAATATTTAAAACCGTTCTGAAATGTCGAATTTGATATGTACACTTCAGTAATGGCACAAGCGGTCTACTCTCTTATGTTTGATTATGTGTTTCAAAATGGCATCCTGAAAATTTCAGGCAAACTGACCGTTTCGAAATTCCCTGAGGGGCAGACAAACGCATCAAAAGGGTTTTAGTTTGATTTTGTGAGGAAGACAGCGCATAAATAAGCGCGCAAAAATGAAGCATTAGATTGGCTACTACGTGGGAAATCAATTAAAATATACTTACCAGAACTAATTACAGGCGTCCTTTTTAAAAACTTACGTTTTGTAAAATGTGTGGTGTGTTTTTTGTTAGACTAAATTGTGCTGAATCATTTAACTTGCCCGAAATGTCCGTAAATTTTTTGACCTTCCGTAGTCTCAAGCGAATGACAAAAATGACAGGTCTTGTAATTTATACTTCTCAAAGCCTTTAAAGGAAGAAAGTTGTTGAAACATTTTGTCTCAGTTGGGAGTTTCCGAGCGCACGCTTGTATCCATCTTGCATTTTAAGTCTCATTTATAGACACGCCTCAAATATTAACCCGCTTACAGGTGAATATTGTATTTCACAGAATATACCCCCAACATAAGTCTTCTTGGGCGTTTAGAAAAGTATTCCCTATAATTTTCTTGGGACGAAATTTGTACGGGGGGTTTTACGCTAATGAGTATTCCAACTTGACTGTTTTTCTTAGGCAATGTCTGTGGGAAATTGAGTACTCTACCCACCTACCCAAAGCCAACATCTAATGATAACTATCTACTGCAGATTGCGAAATAACCAACCCGTTATTCAGAAGGGCCACATCAGTATATCTTGGCGTTTAAAATTATATTTAAGTTTGTGAATACATATAGAAGGAGCATTAAACTATTGAAAGAGTCCCCAAATTGCTAAGGACGTGCATACTGCTACATTTAAATTTCTACGAAAAAATCACTATCTTTGTGGGAATCAGTCTCAACTATGGCAAATAGCCGCTGATCAAATATTACATAAATAATTAGGCCGAAGTCAATCAGCCAGAGTAGGAAACTCGCTTAGTATGCAGTAAGCTGCCAACGGACCGCCAGCAATATATGACCAGGTTGTTTGATAAACCATACCGGAAGAATGCGCAACATCCCTCATTTACCTAGAAACCATGTCACAGTTCTAACATACTGTAAGATATAATTATGACTTATTGATATTTATTTAGCTTTTTGTTATAACTATGTGTATATTACAGGAAATTGCGTTTGTTTAAAATCAAATGAGTGCCCGCCGATCATTTTTTATATTTAAGAATGTTACGTTATTCCTATTTACTAGTAAGAGTTTTAACAGGAGAAATATTTTTTGAAATATAAAATTTATTCATGTGGTGCCTCACCACCCTTACTTGTTCTAATACATCACATTTTAATTTGGGGACGGCATTTTTGGTGAATTGATTTTCGTGGGTTTAATGCAGCCGTCTTGTACAACAAAATTTGTTCGGTATCAAATTTGGGTGATAAAAATGGATATCCAAAGATGAATATCAATGAGTATCAAAATGAGTAATCAAAATTATCATATTATCTAACAGTAAAATATCCTGAAAAAATATCGCTCATGAACAATTATTTATGAAAATAGATAAATTAATTCGTTAAATGACCGACAAGCAAATTAGCCAGAACAGATCAATCAGATATCAGGCATCGCGTTTCATGAGTGAGGTCACACACTGCGCCTGTGTCACTCGTAGTCTATTTCGCAATTACCAAACAGAAATGTTTTCCATAAGTTCCTGTCAACCCCATGCGATCACTGGCGCCGAAGTTGCATTCTCCATCCGGCACATCAACGACACTCAGTTAATTATTTATTTGTGGTCCTGTCCGTTTTTCATGCGGATGTGACGCAGTCATCCACTTGACTGGCGAACGATACAGCAGTTTGGGCAGATAATTACTGTCTGACGTCCTGAAACGTTTAGGCATTTAATTGCAAAGTATTCGCTAATGGATAGAATAGATGCTCAGATCTAGGAGAGAAAAATGAGGAGATAAGGTATGAGTAAAGTATAAGTAAAGTAGCCTAGACAAAGAAAAATGAGCTGCTGTTTTACATTCAGAGATAAACTCTTTGTTAGTTTTGGACATTGGACACATTGTGATAGTGTTTACACAAAAGCATATATAGATACGGGGCTTATTATTATCTCCTCAAAGATAGGAGATTAGACCAATCTTTATGGGACAGTTTGCAGTACTGTATTAAACGATTCGTCGTTTTCACCTAACACGTTTTGCTTCATATCCTACATCGATCTGGAAGACTGCTTTTTGGGGACAAAGAACACGCTTCCATGAATAGGGCCAAAAGGACCGTCATCATCGGTGGTTAGGACTCACGTCCGTTTTTATGGTGTCATCAAAATGCATAAAAAAGACAGGTTAGGTTATTGAAGCTCAAACTGTAGACGGTTGAAGGGATAGATCAGCTGCTAAAGAATGATAAAGCATGAGGTCAGCATTCTTTTTCGGCGAACGATTTCATGTATTTTCATATAATCTATGGTATTCTCTACGGTCATCGTTGGGTTAGATTTTCACTCAGGAAGATTATCTGAGATGCCGCCTGTTGCAAAATGAAGGAAGTATAGGGCTTGTTGGATGTTGGGGGCCTGTATTAAGCAAGATTTTTAAAAAACATCGCTCTTGAAAGTACGATGTATAGCACGTCTATTATGACAAACATTACTGCAATAAAGGTCAAGAAACTTCACGATATAGTAGTGTCTAACTTCTTTCTATGTTGAGTTAACAGGCTTATATTTATGAATAGGAACCTTTTGTTTTAAACGTACATAAGCATATTAAATAATAAATGTCACTCGGAATTTCTATTTGACAATTACACAATTTGCTCATTTGGACTTGTTCCGGTCGGAAAATATACCTTAATATTGCTTTTCTTCAGGACGCTTGTGAAGGATGACATTTTTGATGTGCTGCTAGGATCGTCTAACTTTCATAAAGTCAGCACTAGGTTCACCTGTCTCATCCACTTCGCACAGGATTGAAGCAGTAAAGCAGTATGCTCTGGTCACACTCGAAACTTTATGCCAAATAGTTAGCTAGGCATCGCTGCCCTTGTGGTCGTTTAGATACAAACTAATCATGGCATGCTTAATGACCAAAACCATTGACTGGAGGAGTTCACCTTCAGCCGCTGCTTCCGTACACGCCCACAGGGAACAAAAGAGGGAGAGCTACCAACAGTATGACGGCCCCTACGGTAAATAAAATATATGTCATAAGCAACGGAATGTACTGCTACAGAGCTCGGCCTGGAGATTGTCCATCGGCCAACAGCTAGCTTGCGTTAGCAGAAGATGCAAATAAAAGACCGACTGGATGAAGATGAGCATTCCGGCATTGCTTATCAAGTGCCATGTCACGACCGTACTTGCGACTGGGCGACGGTGTAGCTCGCGAATAATGGAACACAAAGGCGACCCACTGTCCCACGTCGCTACTCACACCCTGGAGAAAGGCCACAACTTCAATTCCACAGGCACAAGTTACAATAGACATCGTAACATAGCCCGCTGCGATCTCTCCCTTCGTTTGCGCGACCAACAAAGCACGGCCCAGTTCCCAGTCAAGGACGAACGCAGCGGCAACAAGGCGAGACGGCGGGGAATGCACTCGATCTATGACGAATACTATCCCCTACACCCCCAACCCCACTTGTTCTCGTAGATGTAATACAAAACACGTCCATTCTCGATGCACGCTCATTGTTTCTGAAAATTAGCCTGAAGCTGCAAGCTCATGCAAATAAAAGTGCCGCCCCAGTTCTCGTGCCTGCATCTTGTTGGCAGGAAGAACCTGCGACTCAAATATTCGTTTCCATTCAGTATATTACCAACAACTTGAACAATGCAATGATTTGCGAAAATAATGTTACCCTAATAAAACTAACACAGAGTTATAGAATGAAAGCATCTCCAAAAGGCAAACGTTGTTCCTTTAAATTAAAAAAATAGTAAAGACATCATATATTTGAGTAGAAATGGTCATTTATCCAGGAGAATATAAGATACAAAAACAGAAATATCTCCCTCGGTTTATAATGCATGTGATTGGAAGCATACGAGTGCCAGATACGCGCACACCGATCGGTAACAAGACACACTCGTCCCGTTTTTTGCCTTCCAGGCTCATACTGGAGCCACGCTAAAAAAACTGCTAATGATATAGACAGAAGGACATTATGTATACATATGAGAAAAATAGACGATCTCGGGCAAAATAATTGTGTTTTTCCAGACGTTTTATCAGCATACAAGCTTCCTTCATTGAAGACAACAGTGGTACCACGCACCATAGTATTTATATATGGCAATGAGCATGGTTAACACGGGTTTGTGAAGGTATCGCAAGGGGGCTGGGGGCGGATAGAGCTCCTCAATCATCGTACCAGTGCCCGAGTAACACCAGGCTAAGGGCCATCCGTCGGGTTTTGCTTTTCGTTGGTTTCCAGCTGTCTCCATTACGGGTTTAGGAAGGCAGAGGAAGAGGTCCTCTCGCGGGGCTGGCTCCTGAATCATCGTGTCCCTGGATGCGGGTAAGGAAGATGACGGGTTGATATCAGTCGGGGTGGGAAGGCATTCGGTGTTTTTTCGTTGTTGGGCGT